TTATAATATATATTATAAATATATATTACAATAAAGACACAGACACACACACATATATAAATAAAATATATATATATTACTTGTTATTAATACAATCTATATGTATTTAATTACAAAGGGAACCCATCATGCTCAAATATACATAGTTATCAAAATATTAAAAAATAACAACTATGTAATATAGTAATATATATGCTTCTTTATTAATCTGTTAAATCACAAGACAAACTAAATTTCAGTTAGAGATAAAGTGGTTTTTTTGGGGGGGCATCCAAGTTCACAGACGCCCTAAAATCTATCCAAGGATCCAAGGTTATTATCCCCAGCCTTAGGGCAAGGCAAAGTCCTATTTTTTTCTTGATGAAGTCAGGGGAAGACAGACCTAATTTAAAGATCAAAATAAACTACTAGGAGAATGGATTATTTCAATATTCTGCTTACTCCAGTCTTCTCCTTTTAGGTAAATCTGTTGCTGGAACTGTACGAAGTGTGGTGTCTGATCTGAATATTTATTAACTTTCTGGTAGATAGCCATCTTTGTTTGAAAAAAAAAATCAAACCCTTCCAAGGAATTGCATGAAATGAATAGAACTTAGAGGAATGTACTTCTACACCTTTTTCTGTCCTAATTTTGAATGGCTACTATCTCAGAAGTGGGATTTTCAATCTACCAGAAGAAAGATGTTGAGCAAGAAATGAACAGAGGCAAAGTCAAGTGTGGAAGACCATCCAAAGAGGGGGATGGCAAGAGGACCAATTGGCTAGAAAGGGATGGGAAAAATTAGCTGTGACATACTCAGATGCCCCATAAATACTTTTAAATTACCTGGCCTCTTTTTGGTTTGATAGCTGAGATTGACAATATGTCAGCTTCAGTTGCATGAGGTTTGGAAAAAAGCTCCCTGATTGCTATTCTTCACACCAAGCTCAGGATACAGAGTGAATGGAAAGTGTAAACCTCATCAGGATCCAAGACTAGCTTTCTATTTTTCCATTTCTAACTTTTCCAGTTGATCAGTTGCATTTCCTCCCACACGTAAAGCCTACTTACATCAATGGTTCTTATGGTCACAATCTGAGGTGCGTCCCTGCATGCTTTCTCTGCTTTCCTGATAGTCTCATTGTTCCAT